TCCTCCTCCTCCTCCTCCTCTGCCTCCCCATCGTCCTCCTGGTTGCCCTGTTTCTTCGGGCTGGCCCCAGAATGGTCTTGGGCGGCGGGGAGTGGCTCCAGGAGAACGAGTCCTTCCTCTGATTGTTCCAGTCGATCCCCGAGGAGGGGCAGGCGGTCTACCGAGGGCGCCATCTTGGCTGCCGCGTCCACAAGGTCACATTGGAGGAAACCATTGCCTCCTCCGATGTGTGCACCCTTGCTGGCAAAGGTGCGGGCGCCTGGCCCAGAGGGCCACCCCAGAGGGCCTGCGCAGGCCAGCCACCGACGGATCGCGCACCAGCAGCCCAAGGCCTTAAATCGCCAGAGCTTGGCGCTAGCGTGCCGCCGCAGCGAGCAAGCTGGCCACCTAGCTGAGGCCCTACCGTCGGCCAGGGAAGATTCGCTACGGGGCATCGCGATCTCCGAGCTGCTGAAGCAGGCGCCGCAGCTCGCCGAGGCCCTCGACCGCGAGTGCGACCGCCGCGCCATGGCGACAGCTGCCGATGTGCGGCGCGCGTGGTCTGCCTTCAACCAAGAGGCCGTGGCTGGTGGCGGCAGAGCTGCGCACCGTATCGGCAAAGGCCCTAGTCCTTGACCCTGACGCTGCGAGCGTGCATCGCGCGCCTGATGAGCTCCACGGGCTCGCGGGAGCGCCCGAACCATGCATGGCCCCTCTGGTAGGGCAGGCGCTGGAGGCGGAACTGCGCTCCTGGTTGCCGCTCCGGGCGAAAGCGTTGCGGCAGGCAGGACTGCGCCCGCTGCACTGGGATGCCGAGTTGGGGCTGCCGCCGATCGCAGTGGTGGCCGACCTCCCCGGAGCAACGGACTTGTTCCCCACGGGCACGGCCCTCAGGGCCCTCCCCGGAGGGGTCGGATCCCTGGCACCTCGAGGCTTCTCGTGCAGCTGCCCGGTGAGACGCTGCAGAAGGCGGGCAGACTTGCTCCAGCAGGTGGAGCAGGGGGGCCCGGCGCCGGCCGTCGTGGCCGGAGAGGCGACGGGCGGCGTCCGGCCCCCCAGGGCTCCCGCCCCGCACGGCGCGGGCCTGAAGCCGCAGTCGCCAGCGCTGGTCCGCCCACCGGGAGAAACGCTTGGCCTGACGACTGCTCTGGAGCGCGGACTCGCGCAGAATGTGCGAGACGGGCGCGTGGAGTGGGGGCCAGTCCACAGGAACCCGTCCACGAGAAACCCAACCCTGAGACCCCAGGACGCGCATTGGTTTCTGGTGTGGCGACGTCACGCTTCCCATGGCAAAATCATCGAAACCCAGGGCACCCTGGAGGCAAGCAGGGTGTTCCTTGGCATGGGTCTCCACTGTACGTGCACAACGTGCTGGCGATCTCGCCTCGGCCACCGTGCTCTTGGACATGGCCAAATCCGCCGACCCAGTCGGCGTGCGTGAGAGGCCCTTCGACGCGAGGGCAAACCAGCCCAAGTGAAATACGCCAGCCTTCTTTGAGTCGTCGTCGCAAGGGAGATCGCACAAACAAGGGGGATCGAACAATGCCGCAATTACGCCGGAGGGACCCCGTCGGGGGGGGATCCTGGGAGAGGGCCCCGGAATAGAGACCTCCTAGATGGGGTCGGAGTAGATGGGGTCGGAGGATCGCAGCGACGCATCGGCGATGCGTCGGTGATGCATCGGCGATGCGTCGGCAATGCGTCGTTGATGTTGGCGATACATCGGCGACGTCGACGAGAAGCAAATCGGGTTCCAGCCTCCACAACAAGCCAACTCAGCTTGGCGTGCGTTGCGGCACGCATTGGCGCCAGGCCCGACTGTACTGGGAAGGGGACGGCTGGGGCTTGCAGATCTCTGCCAGTGCTGCCGCGGCTCGCCTGGCACCATGCAGCAGAGGTGCTTCCAGTGCCCAGCGCGCCGCGCCTGAAGGGCGGACGATCTAGACCCCGCGGTGCGCGATGCTGCCGCTCGAGTGCTGGAGAGCGAGGAGGAGACTGGAGAAAGCTTTTTACGAGTGCTTCTGCCTGACGAAGCTCAGTAATTTCGGCTGCCGCCGCTGCTGCCTGGCGAAGGGCACCAGGCAGAGCGTCAGCCTTCGACTGACCTCATACTGGGCGCACATATTCGCTGCTGGAGCCCGCTGCGATGCAGAATTCCCCACCCTACGGGTGGCTGGCTGGGCAGTGACGGCTTACGGCAACGATCTTCGCCATCTTGGCACTCTACCCAAGGCGGTACCCCGAAACCTCTGCACGTCCCAGTCCACCAGGGACGGGGACAACTACTATCCTGTCCTGATGGCGCCGAGGCACGCCGCCAGCCGCTGCACGCTGCACCCTGACTGCGCTGCCACCATCGCCTGCGGGCAGGACCTGACGCGCGCTCCAAGGCGAGGCCAGCCATGCACACACCTGTGGCGCCAGGCGGCTGCCGGTGATGCGCTCGAGGACGGTTTGCTTTTCCAAGGTCCTCGCGCACGCGACGCGGGGGGATGTGGTGGAGAAGGGAATTACTACCGTACTTGACCGCGCGCTGGCAATCACGCGGCCGACGCCCTGGCAAAGGCTGGGGCGTCCAAGGCCAGCTTGCCGAACATCACCGCGCATTCCTCTTCGGTTGCCCCAACCGCGGGTGGCTCCTGACCCGATACACCGAGCGCATGGAGGCCGCGCTGACTGAATATGGCGCGCGCGACCATCACGGCCCTGAGGCCCTCCGAATGATTGAGCTCGAGGTGGAGGGGTGGGCTGGGTCTGAGGCCTGAAAGTCAGATGGTGCGCGCGCGGGCTCTACGCCAGGGGAGAACACAGGCGGGGCACATCGGCAGAGCCGAGATGCCCAGGCGCGCGCGGAAGCTCTGACTCCAGTGACTCGGGCCATGGCGGGTGCGAGGGCACTGCCTCACTGCCGCGCCTATCCGCGAGGCGCGATGCCCAGAGGGCGGCCCTCGGTGCGCGCCCTTCTCGACCTAGCTAGTCTGCACGACATGTCGGGCTCACGCCTCGCAATCTCGCCGGGCCCATGGAACTCTCAGCGCCTGTCCGCCGGGGGCAGGCCAGCTCGGGCCGCGGGCGACGAGCTCGAATAATCATGTAGCGTCAGCCGTGGTATGCACCCTCATGTTGAGCAGGGACCGACCGTCCCGGCATTCCTATAGGCCTACTGCGAACTGTTATTAGAACCCCAAGTTGTTCCAATAACAAAACCCATGTCCTTAGAACATGCGTACACCGGATGTGTTCAAAACAAGACAGCTTCAGCCAGAAATGTTCGATGGACATTTCGTGCAAACCACATAAGGTTATTATATATTAGAACATTATTTGGTGGGCCTATGGGCGAGCCAGGACGCTTCGCCACTGC